AAATATGAAAAAACACATAATTGGAACACACATGCTTAGTGATGAAACAGCCAATATACTCCGCACTTGTGCACAGAACACATTTAATATGTCATTCAAAATGTAACATTTTAGTTTCCGGTTTTTTTAAACTTCTATTAGAACACTCATCTTGTATTTTATTTTTCAAAAATTAATTTATTAATTTTACAAATATGTTTTTTCAGTGATCGAGCAATTTAAACAATATATAATTCTCTATATCACGTTATGTAATAGTTTACATCCCGTATATACGCGTGAGTAAAACTACATAAAATTGTAGAATATTTTTAAACTAATTATACACAATACATAGTATATACAGTACAGTATATACAATATATTGCATATAATTTATATAAAATTTTATAAAATTTTTTCGATAAGAGAGGAAGGGAAAGAGAGAAATTTACATTTTTCAAATCTTTATATAGATAAAATTTTCAGCTAAAATAAAATCCTTGATTTTTACAACACGAATATTTATATGAATTATATCGCTAGGACATTATTTATACATGTTTTATTGAAATGTTTGGAAATACATATGTACAATACATCTAAAATTGCTGTGCAAACGTTTTTTAAGTTTTGTGTTTTAACCAATAAATGAACGTCACGCGTTCATTTAATGGTAAAAATACTTTTTCATTTTTGTTCCAAACTAATATTATTTGCAATACATATTTCTTTCTCATACATGATTTTTACAAAATTGTTATAACTTAACATTAAAATAAAAAATTGGTCAGACTAACCGACACAATGCACAGCATTGTTGTAAACTGTAAAATATAATAAATAAAATATAATAAATACATGAAAATTGGTAAAATTTAATAAAATAATTGATATATTTTGAAATGCTATTATTTTAATTAAACTTAAATATAAAGAACAATAAATAAATAGTAATAATAAAATAAATAATAAATGAATTATCTACCACGTAGTAGTTCCACTTTTATCAGATGGTTTACTTATCCTGCTGCTCACAACAAACAGTGTGTCTAGCATTATTGCCTGGATTATAATAATATCTCTATCTTTTTGTTAGACAATCTGAGATAGAGTATCTTAATGCTACTGTGTAAGTCTCTTGCGTTTTCAGTCTTTCAAGTGCATAGGAAAAAATGGTAATTTTTGCTAGTTCTGAATTTCATTTTTGCGCATGCAGTGACAAATACTTATACTTGTATCTTATTGTTAGTGGGAAGAAGCAATAAGACTTTAGGATGTGAGGTCAAATTTTATAATAAAGAACAGACCGTCTGTAGTGTAAAAAACATCTCTCGTGTACATCAAACACACATTTGTGCTCTTTGTAATCGGCAGATTCATTTCGTGTACTGTGAAAAGCAAGAAATTAATTACGCGAATAGAATATTGCAATCACTTCGATTTATATTTCTTTCTTGTGTTTCGTTTTTCATAATGTCTGATACAACGAGCTTACCAATAGAGATAATAGTCATCATTTTCGGCTGTAATGTTATCACGATTGAGGATATCATTAACTTTCGATGCGTGTGCAAGCAATTTCGTTATGCAGCCACATATGACAAGTTCTTGGAAAAAAAGTTATCTCAAAGGTAATTCTTGCGGTTTGTAAATCTTTTTGTTATTTTGTCTCATTAACGCCTGTCGCATAATGTATATTTCTTCAGCAAAGAATGTATTTTGTAAATATAAAAAATATTAAAAATATAGTGTAAAAAAACAAAAACTTTAATAATGTATATAAAAACAGATAGAAAAGAATAGAATAAATAAATACAAAACGGACAAAATAGCGTGTTAGCTACGTAATCTTTAACATTATTTCTTCAATTATTCAATTTATTTTTTATACTGATTCAATTAGTAAAATAATTTATTTATTGTTTATAGTAATTCCAAATAATCCTATTTTTTTAGATCTTTTAGTTCACATTAGCTCATTGTCTTGTGAATTTTATTACATTATTATTCAAAAAAATATAATATAATATAATATGTACTTTAATATTACATTATATATAACATAAATAGTATAATTTAAAAAAATATTAGGAAAATTAGATATGTTGTATTAAGTCACTTCACTTCCATTGAATCACTTAAATTTAAATAATTTATTTTATTATCGCATTTTATTTTACTAAATGATTTTTTTTATTGTTCAATAAATTTGGCAAACTCTACCGTTATAGATAAATGTTTATTTGGAATGTAAATATTAAATAATATACTGATAAGAATTCTTAATTTTCGGCTGTCAAAAATTAACAGACCAAATATTTTTTGACCAATACTGGCCAAATGATGTTTATTTAATTAATCACATAAAGTTTTGATCACGGTGTTTCGACCATATTATTTTGGTCCTTCGCACACTTGACAGTACACTTGAGAAGGATAAAAATTATATGATTTCAACGTTGTGTGATTAATTAAATAAATATCAATTGGGCTGTATCGGTCGAAAAATATTTAGTCATTAAATAATTTCTTTTAGATTTTTAATTATTAAGAATATAACTTAAAAGTAACTTTATGCTTATTTATTTTAATGTGTATTCTTCAATATATTTATTTGTATTTTATAAATAAAGATTATATATTTGCTATATATTAGTGATTAAAATAAACGGAATTGATATTTCTTAACGGTTCTTTTTTATAAATAGCACTGAAATCGCAATAAAATCTTCATAAAAGTAAAAACATGCCAAGTAACATTTATAAACATAGTCAACATTTTATGTAAATATGCTTTCGAAAAAGTTATTCTAAAAAATATTTAAAAAGATATATAATATATTCACACACACGCGCATTAATGTTTACTAATAGCATACAGAATACACATATAGAATTACGCAATATACATATTAAAAATTTGAAAATATAGTTTTAATATACTTTTAGGAATATGTAGTCTAAAAATAAATATAAAACTAATGTCATTCAGTCAAGTATAAATTAAATTACAAATTATAATTGAATTTTATATATTTTATTTTTTTATTAAAGTATAAAAAGTGATATTTTGACTAATACTTTGAATATTGTATATATTAAAAAATTTTTTATTTTGAAAAATTTCTTGTGCAATTACATTACTATCATCAGTGTTATCTAAATAAAATTGTATAAATGTAACTTTGGCGTCTTATCTGTATATAGACAATAAAAATATGTATTACCTCTATATCTACATCTTAGATAAAAAAAAGTATTGCCTTTACTAAATTAGCTAGAATAATTTTCAGATAATTTTGGTTTAGAATCATAGCACATAAAAATACTTAAAATAGACAGTAAAACGATAAAAATTTATAAATAAAATATGAATACATATAAATTAACGTATAAGACGGGCAACAAGAGCCAAATCGCGGATGACAATGCGTTATCCTAACGAAACTAAATAATTTTTCGTTAGAATTAAATATCGGTGCACAAGGCACCAAATTTTACTTGGACACGGCCAAGATTTTAAATATGAAATAATCTCATATTTTGAGATTTAATTTCAATACCCCTTTTAACCCCCCACGGAAAATAAATAAATGAATGTAAGAGAAAAATATAGATCCGAAAATCGCTGAATCGGGAATCGAACCCGAGACCTTTCGCTTGCCGGGCGATTGCTCTTCCAGCTGAGCTATTCAGATCCTTTCGATTCTATACTTTTCTCTGTTATATATATTAATGTTGGTAAACAAACGCATTTTTTAAGCCAGCGTGTATCAAATATAAGAGTTTTAACAAGGCTCTGTAATATAAATATAAATTAACGTATAAGACGAGCAACAAGAGCCAAATCGCGGATGACAATGCGTTATCCTAACAAAACTAAATAATTTTTCGTTAGAATTAAATATCGGTGCACAAGGCACCAAATTTTACTTGGACACGGCCAAGATTTTAAATATGAAATAATCTCATCTTTTGAGATTTAATTTCAATACCCTTTTAACCCCCCACGGAAAATAAATAAATGAATGTAAGAGAAAAATATAGATCCGAAAATCGCTGAATCGGGAATCGAACCCGAGACCTTTCGCTTGCCGGGCGACTGCTCTTCCAGCTGAGCTATTCAGATCCTTTCGATTCTATACTTTTCTCGGGTGAAAGGTCTCGAGTTCGATTCCCGATTCAGCGATTTTCGGATCTATATTTTTCTCTTACATTCATTTATTTATTTTCCGTGGGGGGTTAAAAGGGGTATTGAAATTAAATCTCAAAAGATGAGATTATTTCATATTTAAAATCTTGGCCGTGTCCAAGTAAAATTTGGTGCCTTGTGCACCGATATTTAATTCTAACGAAAAATTATTTAGTTTCGTTAGGATAACGCATTGTCATCCGCGATTTGGCTCTTGTTGCCCGTCTTATACGTTAATTTATATTTATATGAATACATATATTGTTGTATCCCTTTAATAATTTATATTTTTTGTATAACTGTGTTTACATAAGCAGTCTTAAAAATTATTATCTAAAAAATTATCTTGATAATTTGCCATATAATTTTATCTTTTATCTAGATATACTTAACACAAAATCATTTTTATCCTATCTAAGATAAATTTACATATTTTTATCTCATTTTTATCAAGCTAATTTTAAAATAATCTTGACACAACACTGAGTATCATTATCAAAAATTTATTACAATATTTTATGGTCGTATTTTAGATGGCCGTATGTGAAGAAAAAATATGAAAATCTTAAGGAAACAAAGGATGGAAAAAACATAAACTTTGTTACAAAAGGCATAAATTATGTGATACAATTGCGAAATTATTTGTCTCTAATTCTTTTTCATGATTATTATTACAATAAAATATCAAATCAAAATTATTTCAATGATTTAATTAATAATGTAGTATTGGAATTCGATGATGTAAAATAATTCAGTGATAATTTCGATGAATATGCAAATCGTTTGAATGAAAATGAACTTGTTTTTAGACGTACACGTAAGCCTAAAAATGTGCTGAAATGTATGTTTTATATTGAGGAGATTAAATGCTTGTTAACACAGTTTCCACAGTAGGATATTCATATATATTATAATGCTACTATTATTACAATTTATTGTATTTATTCATTAGTTAATAATGTAATATATATAAATTTTTTAGGAAAATTGATCGCAATTCAATCCAAGAATTTTGCAATATAGAAATGTCTCACTATGAGAAGCTATCTTCGATACGAAATGAGTTGGACAGATATATAAAGAAACCTGAAAGAGAACAGCTTTTGGAAGAAACATGTACTTTCATAGCACAACGTATTCAACCTCGAAAAGATGTATGTTACACGAATGTAAGTGCATCATTGAATACAATCGCACAAGAGGTACTGAATTCTCTTAGAAAGAAGCATCCGAACCATTCGATATTCTCTACGTCTGATGAAACTTTTTCTTATTGAAAAACCAACAATATCGAAGATAATCATTGGAATAAAACAGAAAGTACGCAGATTATGGATACACTCCAGGAATATATATTTGGCACCTTGAACTTTCGACCATGCAAGTCCTTTCGCGTACATATCAATTGTTTGTGTATAGATTATGTAAGATATTATAGATTATAATACATATATAATTATGGGCCATATACGTATATGTTATATGTGTTGTTCTTAATATTTATATTCTATCGCTTTAATTAATTTATCCTGCATTATACCTGGCACAGGTTTTACAAAGTAAACACGGCCAAGATATCATTGTATATACAATATTTCATAGCGTGGCTAGAAAACTTGGTCTACGTTGCGATATACGAGTACTAACTATTATCGATCATTTCGATATATTTTAGAAACCAAAATTATAAATATAGAAATATATTAGAATCAACATTATCATTATTTCTCGATAATCTTTCTTTTTTATTATACGCAAACATATATAATTTTTTATTATAAAAATTTTCATATGATTAAGATAATATTTTAATTGTTTACAGCGTCACGAATAATTCCGAAAATGCACGATATTTTTACATAAAAAACGAAGATTACCCGAATTGTCTTAATCAAACAAATTTTTGGGGACCAGTCGCAATAACAATTAGAAAGGTTGAAAATTACTTATTTATTATTTCTAATAATTTTAAGTTATTAATATAGTTGTAAATTTACAAAGAATCAATAAATTACAATAAATATGTATAGGATGAAAAGAAATGTACTGTCTCTCATTTTTTAATTTATATAATAAGATTTTTGTTTACATTTAATTTTTGTTCATGTTTAATTTGCTTTTTTAGATGTTGTTGATATTAAAAATTTCGTTGGAAAGTTTATAATGAATCATGAAATAACAGATTTGGGATTAGTCAAAGTAAAATGTATAATTGAAATAGAAAACGGATCATGAATAGTATTATATAATATATACAACTGTAAAAATATATTAAACTTTGTGATGCTTTTAGATAACAATTATGTATAATTTACAATTTTCTATAATTTAATATGTTTAAGTGTTTAGTGAGACATTTATTCATTATATGTATATAAAAAGAAGAGAAATGTAGAATCTTTCATTTATTAATTTATAATTAAATCTTTGTTTACATGTCGTCTTTATTCATGTTTAATTAATTTTTTAGATGTTGGTGTTAACAAAAAATACCCTTATAGATTTTATAGCGGAACATAAAATAAAAGCTTTGCGATTACACCAAATTAATTGTAATAGGTAAAGAACATACGCGCACTAACAATCGCATATTAGTATATAATATATATACAATTAAAAAAATATTGAACTTTGTGAGATTCTTTTAGATAACAATTCTTTTAGATAACAATATGTATAATTTACAATTTTTTATCATTTAACGTGGTTCAGTGTTTATTGAGACATTTATTCACAAAAAAATCGATTGAAGAACAAATTTTACAGTTTGTGTCTTGTATTTCGTTTTAAATATAAGAACAAATAAATAAAAACGTAAAATATGCCGTACTTGCATGGACCAACCAATAGACAGATGTTTTATTGACGCATATACATGTATATACATATATACGTTTCACCTTTGTAGATAAATACTATGCCCTATTTTTGTATGCAATGTCAATTGAGAATCAACGACGAATAAAATATATTTATTGTTCTCTGCTATATTTATTGTATTCAATTATATAAACAATAAAATGAGAAAAATTGTGATTGCAAGGATTTGAATTAGTGCAGTAGAATTTATAAATTTAAAAATTTAGAAAAATTATGACATAATTAAGATTTACAATTTATTAATATCTATTATTTTGAAACTTGTATCATCGATAGTGTTGCATTTGTATAAGTAAAAACACGTATGTTACAATAAAAGGCAATAATTTATATATTTTAAAATATATATAATACTTTTGTGTTAAAAAAGACAATAAAAACGTATTAATGATATTAGATTTTGTATGATATATTGTATGATAATTGCAGTATTTGAAAATTTGTGCAAGATTCAAGCAAAACTTTAAAATTTAACTAATTTCAACAAGTTATATCTTTCTTTTATGTAGAGGATCTCTTCAATGGATAAAGCAATATTTTAAGAAATATAACGAAAAACGTTAAATATATATTAAAATATATTAAAATCAGATAATTGTACAAAGACTTATACCAAATTCTTATATATATCTGAAAATATAAAAAAACATAATTGTAACACACATGCTTAGAACAGCATATATACTCCACACTTGGATATAAAACACATTTATGGTCATTCTGAAACGCAAAATTTAATAAGATAAATAATTCTTTTAAATTAATGTTATTTATTTCAATTTCATAATATCATTGCACTTCTCCAAGAGCTACCAAAAGAGTAAGTAAAAAACCGATAAATATAAATATTATTATTTAGTTTTTTTTTAATGATTAATATAAACTTTTGAAAAATAAATGAACAAATATACTTAATGAATAAGAAAGTTAGTCTCAAAATAAACAAGGGTATGCGAACCGAAGGCGAGGGTTTGTGTTTTAGAAAATAAAAATTAATTTTTCCCCTATGTCTTATAATTGTGCACGAAGCACGGAATTTGCATAGTGCTAACAATAAGACTATTTAGAAATAAGTCTCAACTTGATTCTCAATTTTAGAATCTCTATTTTAATAAAATTAAAATTTAGAAAGACAGGGCCAACTATAACGAGCATATTAAATTAGTGAGAGATGTAATGTCAACACATAATTACTTTATTTCTTAGTAAATACAATAATAATAATAAAAAAATAAAAAAATAAAAAAATAAACGTTTTGGCTGTTACCTCAGCCTTTTTCAGTAAATATAAAAAAAACGATAAAAAATACTTTTAAATAAAATTATGAAATATTACGCATTAGAGTCTATTATTTAATGAATTTTTGGTTTGATGAGTCATTAGATTTATATTGGGTTACGCTTATATCATTTATTAAAATAGATATTGTTTCTAATCGGCTAACCATTTTTTAACCGAGATGGTAAACTTTTAATTATGTCAAAAAACATGTAAACGAGCTCACTGTTGTTAGTAGAACAAGTTGACAGTCCATTCCACGTCATCAATCCTTTTGAACATTATTAGTTGAAAATATCGTCAGAACCGCTTGACATGAGAATTGAAACAATTAGATGTTATCCAGCATCAAAAAGTTAGTCCTCATCATCAAGCATATTTCCGAGTAAGTTCATCATTGTAGTGTGTTTCACCGTGTTTGTTTAGATTGATGAGTAGTCAAGATTCCGCCAAGTCAATGTGTTCATTATACAGAGTTACAATATGATATCATATGGCAAGTTCTTATACCTATATCTTAGTGAAAACAAGCAATAATGCTTTAAAATTTAAGGTCAAATTTTATAATAAAGAACAGAACGTCTACAGTGTGGAAAACGTCTCTCGTGGACATCAAACACACATCTGTGCTCTTTGTAATCGGCAGACTCATTTCGTGCACTGCAAAAAACAAGGAATTACGCGAATAATTTATTGCAATTACTTTAATTTACATTCCCTTTTTGTGTTTCGGTTCTCATAATGTCTGATTGGAAGATAACGTGCTTACCAGAGGAGATGATAAGCTACATTCTCAACGATAACGTACTCACTATTGAAGATATCATTAACTTTCGATGCGTGTGCAAGCAATTGCGTTATGCAGCCGAATATGACAAGTTCTTGGAAAAAAAGTTATCTCAAAAGTAATTCTTGTGGTTTGTAAATCTTTTTGTTATTTTGTCTCATTAACGCCTGTCGCACAATGTATATCACTTCTGCGAAGAACGTATATTATAAATATATAATAAATACAAAATATTCGAAAAAGTAGATATGTTGCATATTAAATTATTCGCTTTCATTTTTTCTATTGCTCAATAATTTTGGCAAACTCTACCGTTATACATATATATACATATATAATATATATACATATATATATATATATATATATATATATATATGGAATGTAAACGTTAAATATAATATACTGATAATAATTCTTAATTTTTAGCTGTCAAAAATTAAAAGACCAAATATTTTTCAACCGACATTCGTCAATTGATGTTTATTTAATTAATCACACAATGTTTCGACCACGGTGTTTCGACCATATAATTTTGGTCCTTCGCACACTTAACAGTAACACTTGAGAATAACAAAAATTATATGAAACGTTGTGTAATTAATTAAATAAATATTAATTAGCCTATATATATATATCGGTCGAAAAATATTCAGTTATTCAATAATTTTTTTTTAGATTTAATTATTAAAAATACAACATAAAAGTAACTTGGTTTATTTATTATAATGTGTATTCTTCAATATATTTAATTACATACATACACATAAGCACATTAATGTTTATTAATTGCATATAAAATACACTTACAGAATTATGCAATATACATATTAGAATCAAAATTTAAAAAATATAAATTTAATTACAAATTAAAATTGACTATTATATATTTTCTATTTTTGATTAAAGTATAATAAGAAGTGACATATATATACTCATGCTTTGAATTGTATACTTTAAAAAATTTATTAATTTGAAAAATGACTTGTGCAATCACATTGTTTACTATCATCAAAGTTTGCTGTTTGTTATCTAAATAAAATTAAATAGAAGAACTGTGGCGTCATCTTATCTGCATATAGATAGTAAAAATATAAATTATCTTTATATCTGCATCTTACAAGGAGATAAAAAAAGTACTACCTTTACTATATTATTTATCTAAAATAATATTCCAATAATTTTGGTTTAGAATCATAGCACACAAGAATATTTAAAGTAGACAGTAAAGCGATAAAAATTTATAAATAAAAATATAAATACATATGATGTTGTATCCCTTTTATAAGAGATCCTTATTTTTTTTAGGATCTTTATCCAGCTAATTTTAAATTAATCTCGACACAAGACTAAGAATCATTATCAAAAATTTATTAAAATATTTTATGGTCGTATTTTAAATGGCCCTATGCAAAGAAAAGATATGATGTTCTTAAAAAAACAAAGGATGGAGAAAACCTAAACTTTGTCACAATAGACATAAATTCTGCGACACAATTGCGAAATTATTTGTCTCTAATTCTTTTTCATGATTATTATTATGATAAAATATCAAATCAAAATTATTTCAATGATTTAATTAATAATGTAGTATTGGAATTCGATTATGTAAAGAAATTCAGTGATAAATTCGATGAATATGCAAATCGTTTGAATGAAAATGAACTTGTTTTTAGACGTACACGTAAGCCTATAAATGTGCTGAAATGTATGTTTTATATTGAGGAGATTAAAAGCTTGTTAACACAATTTCCACAGTAGGATATTCATATATATTATAATGCTACTATTATTACAAATTTATTGTATTTATTCATTAGTTAATAATTTAATATATATAAATTTTTTAGGAAAATTGATCGAAATTCAATCCAAGAATTTTGCAATATAAAAATGTCTCACTATGAGAAGATATCTTCGATACGAAATGAGTTAGACAGATATGTACAGAAACCTGAAAGAAAACAGCTTTTGGAAGAAACATGTACTTTCATAGCACAACGTATTCAACCTCGAATAGATGTATGTTACACGAATGTAAGTGCATCATTGGATACAATCGCACAAGAGGTACTGAAATGTCTCAGACTGAAGCATCCAAACCATTCGATATTTTCCACGTCTGAAGAAACTTTTTCCTATTGGAAAAGCAACAATATCGAAGATAATCATTGGGATGAAACAGAAAGTACGCAGATTATGGATACACTCCAGGAATATATATTTAGCATCTTGAATTTTCGAGCATGTATCTCCCCATTTTCACCCAAAGATATCAAATGGATTTGTATAGATTATGTAAGTTATTAGAGATTATAATATATATAATTATGGGCCATATATGTATATATTATATATTGTTCTTAATATTCTCTCGCTTTGATCAATTTGTTCTGTATTATACCTGGCACAGGTATTACAAAGTAAATATGGTCAAGATATTGCTGTATATACAATATCTTGACCATATTTACTTTGTAATACATGTGTTATCATAACGTGGCTAGAAGACTTGGTCTACGTTGCGATCTAATAGATGTTTACACTGAAATCTGTATATTTTGGAAATCAAAATTGTAAGTATAGTTATATATTAGATTCGACATTATCATTATTTTTCGATAATCTTTCTTTTTTTATTATACGCATACATATATAACTTTTTATTATAAAAATTTTCATATGATTAAGATAATATTTTAATTGTTTACAACGTTATGAATAATTTAGAAAATGAACGATGTTTTTACATAGAAGACGAAAATTTCCCGAATTGTCTTCATAATTATCTACCAGGTTACAAGTCTTGTGAAACAAATCATGACGTCATCAAAATAAGAACTGAAAAGGTTGAAACTTATTTATTACTTCTATTAATTTTAAGTCATTAATATGCTTGTAAATTGACAAGCAATTAATAAATTACATTATGTGTGTAGAAAGAAAAGATACGTACATTTCTCATTTCTTACATTATAATTAGATTCTTGTTTACATTTAATCTTTTTTTATGTTTAATTAACTTTTTCAGATGTTGGTCATGATAAAAGATTTTGTTGAAACGTTTATATGGACACATAATAATCTATTTGGGATTAATGAATTGTAATGTGTAAAAAACATACGCGCACTAACATAATCGCTAGTTAGTAAATAACATATACCATTGTAAAAATAAAGAGCATTGTGAGATATTTTCAGATAACAATTATGTATAATTTACAATTTTCTATAATTTAACGTGTTTTAAGTGTTAATTGAGGCATTTATTCACAAAAAAATCAAAGTAAAAAATTTACAGTTTCTGTCTTATTTTAATTAGTAGAACACATAAATGAAAACGTGAAATATGCTGTGGAAATTATCATAATATATAATCCACCTACAGATCAATCTACAGATTCGGACCAACATAATAGATCATAGGATGTTATTGACACATACATATATACATACATGTTCGACAATTGAGAATCAACGATGAATAAAATATAGCTATTATCTTTCTGCGATATTTATTGTATTCAATTATATAAATAATAAAGTAAGAAAATATTAGTATAATTTCAAATTTTGCAAATTTATCTCAATTTTAGAATCTCAATTTTAATTCCTCAGTTTCCGATTCAGCAACTTTTGGACCGATATATTTTGTTTTTCTACATCTTTGTAGGGAGATCAAAAGAAAACATAGAAATTAAAATCTCGAATTGAGATTTATTCACAAACATCTGCGTTGAGTTCGCATAGTCTGTTCATTTTGAGTTTGTATTTAATCCATAAAGTTTTATATTCTTATAAAGTTTAGATTTCTAGAATATATACACCCCGTATATACGCGCAAATAAAACTACATAAAATTGTAGCATAGTCTTATATAAACTATGTACATACATCAAATATTAAATATTTGTATTGTAAGTCGGAAATTTTATTTTAGCTGAGAATTATATCTGTAAAGATTTGAAAAATGCAAAATGTAAATCTCTCTCTTTCCCTTTCTCTCTTATCGAGAATATTTCATAATGCACAGTACTGGAGTTGTAAACTGTAAAATATAAATACAAAAAATTTATAAAATTTAATAAAATAATTGATAATTTGAAATAAAATTAGTTTAATTAAGCTTAAATAATACATAATATAAATACATAAAAATTAGTAAAATTTAAAATAACTGATAAATTTAAAAAAATATATTATTTTAATTAAGCTTATATGTATAGAGAACAATAAATAAATAAATAATGATAATAAAATAAATAATAAATAAATTATTTACCACGTTCTATCTTTCAAGCACATAGGAAGAAACGGTAAATTTGCTAGTTCTAAATTACATTTTCTGCGCATGCCGTGGCAAGTACTTATACCTATATCTTAGTGAAAACAAGCAATAATGCTTTAAAATTTAAGGTCAAATTTATAATAAAGAACAGAACGTCTACAGTGTGGAAAACGTCTCTCGTGTACATCAAACACACATCTGTGCTCTTCGTAATCGGCAGACGCATTTCTTGTACTGCGAAAAGCAAGGAATTACGCGAATAGTTTATTGCAATCACTTTAATTTACATTCTTTTTTTGTGTTTTGTTTCTCATAATGTCTGATTATAAGATAACGTACTTACCAGAGGAGATGATAAGCCACATTCTCGACGATAATGTACTCACTATTGAAGATATCATCAACTTTCGATGCGTGTGCAAGCAATTTCGTTATGCAGCCACATATGACAAGTTCTTGGAAAAAAAGTTATCTCAAAGGTAATTCTTGTGGCTTGTAAATCTTTTTGTTATTTTGTCTCATTAACCTGTCGCACAATGTATATCACTTCTGCGAAGAACGTATATTATAAATATATAATAAATACAAAATATTAGAAAAATTAGATATGTTGCATATTAAATTATTCGCTTTCATTTTTCTATTGCTCAATAATTTTGGCAAACTCTACCGTTATATATATACATATATGATATACATATACATATATATATATATATATATATATATGGATGTAAACGTTAAATATAATATTCTGATAAGAACTCTTAATTTTCGGGTGTCATAAATTGAAGGACCAAATATTTTTCAACCGACATTTGTCAATTGATGTTTATTTAATTAATCACACAATGTTTTGACCACGGTGTTTCGACCATATAATTTTGGTCCTTCGCACACTTAACAGTAACATTTGAGAAGGCCAAAAATTATATGAAACGTTGTGCGATTAATTAAATAAATATTAATTAGCCTATATATATATATATCGGTCGAAAAATATTCAGTCATTAAATAATTTTTTTTTAGATTTAATTCTTAAAAATACAACATAAAAGTAACTTTGTTTATTTATTATAATGTGTATTCTTCAATATATTTAATTGCATTTTTAAATATAAAAATTATATATATGATATATATTTGTAATAGAAACAAACAGATTTGATATTTTTCTATCGGTTCTTTTTTATAAATAGCATTGAATTCACAATAAAATTTTTATAAAAGTAAAAACGTGCCAAGTAACATATATAAGCACAGTCGACATTGTATGTAAATATGCTTTTGAAAAAATTGTTCTACAAAATATTTAAAAAGAAACTTAATATATACATACATACACACACGCACATTAATGTTTAATAATTCCATATAGAATACACGTATAGAATTACGAAATATACATATTAAAATCAAAATTTGAAAATTGAGTTTTAATATACTTTTAGGAATATGTAGTTCAAAAATAAATATAAAACAAATGTTATTCATCCAAGTATAAATTTATTACAAATTAATATTGAATGTTATATATTTTAATTTTTCTAATTAAAGTATAAAAAGAAGTGACATATATGTACTCATGCTTTGAATTGTATACTTCAAAAAATTTATTAATTTGAAAAATTACTTGTGCAATCACATTGTTTATTATCATCAAAGTTTGCTGTGTGTTATCTAAATAAAATTAAATGGAAGAACTATGGCGTCATCTTATCTGCATATAGATAATAAAAATATGAATTATCTTTATATCTGCATTTTAGATAATAAAAATATTATCTTTACTATACAATTTATCTAAAACAATGTTTAGATCATTTTGGTGTAGAGTCATAGCACTTAAAAATACTTAAAGTAGACAGTAAAGCGATAATAATTTATATATAAAAATATAAATACATATACTGTTGTATTCCTTTTATAATTTATATTTTTTGTATAACTGTATTTACATAAGCAGTCCTAAATATTATTATCTAAACAATTATCTAAATATAACGCCATTAAATTATATATTTTGTCTAGATATACTTAAAACAAAATCATCTTTATCCTATCTAAGATGAATTTACATACTTTTATCTCATCTTTATCTATCTAATTTTATAATAATCATGACACAACACTAAGTATCATTATCAAAAATTTATTATAATATTTTATGGTCGTATTTTAAATTTTTAATGTTTTATTTTAGATGGCCCTATGCAATGAAAAAATATAAAAGTCTTAAGGAAACAAAGCATGGAAAAAACATAAACTTTGTTACAAAAGGCATAAATTCTGTGATACAATTGCGAAATAATTTGTCTCTAATTTTTTTTATAATTATTATTATTATTACAATATAAGATCAAATCAAAATTACTTTGACTTAATTGCTAATGTATTAACATTCGAAAATGTAATGAAATTCATCGGTAATATCGATGAATATATAAATCAAATTATTCCTAAACGTACACATGAGCCTACAGATGTGCTGAAATATATGTTTTATATTGAGGAGATTAAATGCTTGTTTACACAATCTCCACGGTAGGATATCTTCATATATATTATATAGCTACTATTATCACAATTTAATGTTTTACTTTATTGATTAACTTAATACTTCAATATATAAATTTTTTAGAGGAATTGATTGCAAATCAATCGAAAGATATTGCAATATTAAAATGTCTCACTATGAAAAACTATCTTCGATACGAAATGAGTTGGACAGATATATAAAGAAACCTGAAAAAGGACAGCTTTTGGAAGAAATTTGTACTTTCATAGCACAACGTATTCAACCTCGAAAAGATGTATGTTACACGAATGTAAGTGCATCATTGGATACAATCGCACAAGAGGTACGGAATCGTCTCAGAGAGAAGCATCCGAACCATTCGATATTCTCTACGTCAGAAGAAACTTTTTACGATTGGAAAACCAACAATATCGAAGATAATCAATGGGATGAAACAGAAAGTACGCAGATTATGGATACACTCCAGGAATATATATTTGGCACCTTGAATTTTCGACAATGTATCTCCCCATTTTCACCCGATGATATCAAATGGATTTGTATAGATTATGTAAGTTATTAGAGATTATAATATATATAACTATGAGCCATATATATATATATATTATATATTGTTCTTAATATTCTGTCGCATTGATTAATTTATCCTGTATTATACCTGGCACAGATTTTACAAAGTAAATTTGGTAGAGATATCATTGTATATACAATATTTCATAGCGTGGCTAGAAGACTTGGTCTACGTTGCGATGTACTAGATATTGAAAATGAATTCTATATGTTTTGGAAATCAGAATTGTAAGTATAAATATATATTAGAATCAACATTATTATTATTTCTCAATAATCTTTCTTTTTTTATTATACGCATGCATATATAATTTTTTATTATAAAAATGTTCATAATGATTAAAGTAATATTTTAATTGTTTACAGCGTCACGGATAATTTAGAAAATGCACGAAATTTTTACATAACAAACGAGGATTACCCGAATTGTCTTACTGATAATCAATCAAATAATTGGAGACCAGTCTTAACAATTAAAAAGGTTGAAAATTACTTATTACTTCTAATAATTTTAAGTTATTAATGTACTTGTAAATTTACAAAGAACCAATAAATTACACTAAATATGTATAGGAAGAAGAGAAATGTGCAATCTCTCATTTTTTTAATTTATAATTACATTTTTATTTACATGTCGTCTATATATTCATGTTTAATTAATTTTTTTAGATGTTGGAGTTCACAACAAATATAGTTGACGAATTTATAAGGGAACAATTATATATAATAAGAAAATTGCTTTTATATAGAGATAATTAAATAGAGCATTATATAGGATCTTCTGATATGATTAAAATGTATTGTATGTTTTGTAATCATATTATGATGATAGGGTATTATGAGTGCAAGTTATATATACATATAATGCAAAATGTGAGTAATTATATTAATTTGAGCATATTTATATATACTCATAATGACGTATTTTGCAAACAGTTTCAAGATATCATAATATGTCCGTGTTTTGAGTAGTATATGAGCCTGCATCTGTGTCTATTTTTGTCATCATGTTTTGAGAAATATGAGTACAATATGAGTAAAGTACATCCGCGCACTAACAATCGCATATTAGTATATAATATATATACAATTGTAAAAATATTGAACATTGTGAGATTCTTTTAGATAACAATTCTTTTAGATAACAATATGTATAATCTACAATTTTTTATAATTTAACGTGGTTAAGTGTTTACTCAAACATTTATTCACAAAAAATCAATTAAAGTACAAATTTTACAGTTTGTGTCTTATATTTCGTTTCAAATAGTAGCACAAATAAATAAAAACGTAAAATATGCCATAGTTGCATGGACCAACATAATAGACAGATGTTATATTGACATATACATGTATATACACGTATATGTTCGACTTCTGTAGAGAAATACTATGTCCCATTTTTGTATGCAATGTCAATTAAAAATCAACGACGAATAAAATATATTTATTGTTCTCTGCTATATTTATTGTATTAATTAATATAAACATTAAAATAAGAAAAATTGTAATTGCAAGAATTTGAATTAGTGCAGTAAAATTTATAAAATTAAAAATTTAGAAAAATTAATTAATTTATGAACATCTTTTTAATACTTTAAGTATATGCAAAATATGACATAATTAAAATTTACCATTTATTAATATCTAATATTTTGAAACGTTTGTAGACGATAGTGTTGCATTTGAATAAGTAAAAACAGGTATATTAATAAACAACAATGTTTAATAAAAGACAAATTTTTTATATATCTGAAAATATAAAAAACACATAATTGAGAAACACATGCTTAGTAATGAGACAGCAAATGTACTCCGCATTTGAGCACAGAACACATTTAATGTCATTCAAAATGTAACATTTTAATTTCCGTTTCTTTTAAACTTCTGTTAGAACACTCATCTTATATTTTATTTTTCAAAAATTAATTTATTAATTTTACAAATATGTTTCTTCAGTGATCGAGCGATTTAAACAATATATAATCCTCTAGATCACGTTATATAATAGTTTACACCCCGTATATACGCGCGAGTAAACTACATAAAATTTTTGAAATTTTTAGAATTTGTACATTATTTATTAAAAAGAAAGAAAAATAGACAGGGAGGGAGAGAGAAAGAAAGATTGAAATATATTTCATAGTATAAATAATGTCGTAACGATACTAATAATTCATATAAATGTTTGTATTTATAAATTGAAATAAATTTGAAAAAATTTAATTAAACTAAAATTAAAAATCTAAACATTAATTTAAATGTCTGCGCTGTATTTTTTAAATATATAAATTCATTCTTTGATTTATTATGCGGCGCATTTATCATGATGTAAATTGAAATATTTTAACTAATTTCGTTAGACAATCAAAAGAAGAACATAAATTTAATGGAATAAGAATCATAACAAAGTTTAACATAACTATTACCGAAGAATGTTTTCATCGTATCATTTATGCAGAGGATCTCTTCAATGGATGTGGCATTATTTTAGAAGGTATAACAAACAACGTGGAGCATGCGATATCTGTGATAAAAATTTCATCCTATTATCTATCGATACATCTGTGATATATCATATAAAAATAAAGCATAAAGAAATTTATACATAACGTTTCAAGTGTGCGGCCTTCTTATTCTATATCTAGAAATATATTAAAATAAGATAATTGTACAAAAACTTATACCAAATTTTTTATATATATCTGAAAATATAAAAAAACATAATTGAAACACACATGCTTAGAACAGCAAATATACTCCACAATTGGATATAAAACACATTTAAGGTCATTCTGAAACGCGAGATTTGCGACAAATTTAATAAAATAAATAATTCTTTTAAATTAATATTTATTTCTCTCTCAACTTCACAATATCTCTGCATCTCTCCAAATGAATAAGTGAAAAACTGATAAATATGAATATTATTATTTAGTTTTTTTTAGTGATTAATATAAACTTTTGAAAAATAAATGAACAAATATACCTAACGAATAAGAAAGTTAGTTTCGAAATAAACAAGAGTATGCGAGCCGAACGCGAAGGTTTGTGCGTTAAATAAGAAAAATTAATTTTTCCCATATGTCTTATAATTATGCACGAAATTTGCTTAGCATAGTGCTAACAATAAGACTATATAGAAATAAATCTCAACTTGGTTCTGAATTTTAGAATCTCTATTTTAATTCCTAAGTTCCCGATTCAGCAACTTCTGGACCGATATATTTTGCTTTTCTACATTTTTTTTAAAAGGATCAGAGGGAAACATAGAAACTAAAATCTAGAATTGAGATTTATTCACAAACATCCGCGTTGAGTACGCATAGTCTGTTCATTTTGAATTTGCATTTAATCCATGGAGTTTTTATATTCTGATAAAGTTTAGATTTCTGGAATATATACACCCCGTATATATGCACAAATAAAACAACATAAAATTGTAGAATATTCTTATATAAACTATGTACATACATCAATTATTAAATATTTGTATTGTAAGTCAAGAGTTTATTTTAGCTGAGAATTTTATCGGTAAAAATTGCAAATAAAAAAAAAGTAAATCTCTCTTTTTCTCTTTCTCTCTTATCGAGAAAATTTGACAATGCACAGCACTGGAGTTTTATACTGTAAAATATAAATACATAAATATTATTGGTAAAATTTAATAAAATAATTGATTATTTGAAATAAAATTACATTAATTAAGCTTAAATAATACATAATATAAATACATAGAAATTAGTAAAATTTAAAATAACTGACAAATTTGAAAAAATATATTATTTTAATTAAACTTAAATAAAAAACAATAAATAAATAAATAGTAATAATAAAGAATAAATAATAAATAAATTATTTATCACGTTCTATCTTTGAAGCGCATAGAAAAAACTGATAAATTTGCTAGTTTTAAATTACATTTTCTGCGCATGCCGTGGCAAGTCCTTATATCTATATCTTAGTGAAAACAAGCAATAATGCTTTAAAATTTAAGGTCAAATTTTATAATAAAGAACAGAACGTCTACAATGTGGAAAACGTCTCTCGTGTACATCAAACACACATCTGTGCTCTTCGTAATCGGCAGACGCATTTCTTGTACTGCGAAAAGCAAGAAATTACGCGAATAGTTTATTGCAATCAATTTAATTTACATTCCTTTTTTGTGTTTTGTTTCTCATAATGTCTGATTATAAGATGACGTACTTACCAGAGGAGATGATAAACCACATTCTCGACGATAATGTACTCACTATTGAAGATATCATTAACTTTCGATGCGTGTGCAAGCAATTTCGTTATGCAGCCACATATGACAAGTTCTTGGAAAAAAGTTATCTCAAAGGTAATTCTTGTTGTTTGTAAATCTTTTTGTTATTTTGTCTCATTAACGCCTGTCGCACAATGTATATCACTTCTGCGAAGAACGTATATTATAAATATATAATAAATAAAAAATATTGAGAATATAGTGTAAAAAAATAAAACTTAAATAATATAAAAACAGATAGAAAAAAATAGATTATATCTTGTCAAAAATTAAAAGACCAAATATTTTTCAACCGACATTCGTCAATTGATGTTTATTTAATTGATCACACAACGTTTCGACCACGGTGTTTCGACCATATAATTTTAATCCTTCGCACACTTAACAGTAACACTTGAGAAGGTCAAAAATCATATGAAACGTTGTGTGATTAATTAAATAAATATTAATTAGCTTATGTATATATCAGTCGAAAAATATTCAGTCATTAAACAATTTTTGTTTAGATTAAATTATTAAAAATACAACATAAAAGTAACTTTGTTTATTTATTATAATGTGTATTTTTCAATATATTTAATTGCATTTTTAAATATAAAAATTATATATATGATATACATATTCGTGATAGACACAAACAAATTTGATATTTTTCTATCAATTCTTTTTTATAAATAACATAAAAATCACAATAAAATCTTTATAAAAATAAAAACATGCCAAGTGACATATATAAGCAAAATTGACGCATTGTTTGTAAATATGCTTTCGAAAAAATTGTTCTACACAATATTAAAAAAAAACTTAATCTATACATACAAACGCATAAGCACATTAATGTTTATTAATTGCATATAGAATACACTTATAGAATTATGCAATATACATATTAAAATCAAAATTTGAAAAGTATAAATTAAATTACAAATTAGAATTGACCATTATATATTTTATTTTTCTGATTAAAGTATAAAAAGAAGTGACATACATGTACTCATGCTTTAAATTGTATACTTCAAAAAACTTATTAATTTAAAAAATTACTTGTGCAATCACATTGTTTACTATCATCAAAGATTGCTGTGTGTTATCTAAATAAAATTAAATGGAAGAACTGTGGCATCGTCTTATATGCATATAAATAATATAAATATGTATTATCTTTATATCTGCATCTTACAAATAGCTAAAAAAAAGTACTACCTTTACTATATTATTTATCTAGAATAATTTTCAGATAAATTTGGTTTAAAATCATAGCACATAAGAATACTTAAAGTAAACAAAAATACGATAAAAATTTATAAATAAAAATATAAATACATATATTGTTGTATCCTTTTTATAAGGGATCCTTATCTTTTTAGGATCTTTATCCAGCTAATTTTAAATTAATCTCGACACAAAACTAAGATTCATTATCAAAAATTTATTACAATATTTTATGGTCGTATTTCAGATGGCCCTTTACGAAGAAAAGATATGAAAGTCTTAAGGAAGAAGAAAATGAAGAAAACATAAACTTTGTTACAATGGGCATAAATTCTGCGACACAATTGCGAAATTATTTGTCTCTAATTCTTTTTGATAATTATTACAATGATATCAAATCAAAATTATTTCAATGATTCAATTAGTAATGTAGTATTAAAATTCGATGATGTAAAGAAATTCAGTGATAATTTCGATGAATATGCAAATCGTATGAATGAAAATGAACTTGTTTTTAGACGTACACGTAAGCCTATAAATGTGCTGAAATGTATGTTTTATATTGAGGAGATTTAATGCTTGTTAACACAATTTCCACAGTAGGATCTTCATATATATTATAATGCTACTATTATTACAATTTATTGTATTTATTCATTAGTTAATAATTTAATATATATAAATTTTTTAGGAAAATTGATCGCAATTCAATCCAAGAATTTTGCAATATAGAAATGTCTCACTATGAGAAGCTATCTTCGATACGAAATGAGTTGGACAGATATATAAAGAAACCTGAAAGCGAACAGCTTTTGGAAGAAACATGTACTTTCATAGCACAACGTATTCAACCTCGAAAAGATGTATGTTACACGAATGTAAGTGCATCATTGGATACAATCGCACAAGAGGTACTGAATTGTCTCAGAGTGAAGCATCCGAACCATTCGATATTCTCCACGTCTGAAGAAACTTTTTCTTATTGGAAAACCAACAATATCGAAGATAATCATTGGGATGAAACAGAAAGTACGCAGATTATAGATACACTCCAGGAATATATATTTAGCATCTTGAATTTTCGAGCATGTATCTCCCCATTTTCACCCGAAGATATCAAATGGATTTGTATAGATTATGTAAGTTATTAGAGATTATAATATATATAATTATGGGCCATATATGTATATATTATATATTGTTCTTAATATTCTCTCGTTTTGATTAATTTGTTCTGTATTATACCTGGCACAGGTATTACAAAGTAAATATGGTCATGATATCGTTGTATATACAATATTTCATAGCGTGGCTAGAAGACTTGGTCTACGTTGCGATCTAATAGATGTTTACAGTGAAATCTGTATATTTTGGAAATCAAAATTGTAAGTATAGTTATATATTAGATTCGACATTATCATTATTTTTCGATAATCTTTCTTTTTTTATTATACGCATACATATATAATTTTTTATTATAAAAATTTTCATAATGATTAAAGTAATATTTTAATTATTTATAGCGTCACGAATAATTTAGAAAATGAACGATGTTTTTACATAGAAGACGAGAATTTCCCGAATTGTCTTCATGATTGTCTACCAGATTACATGTCTTGTACACATCATGATGTCATCAAAATAAGAACTGCAAAGGTTGAAATTTAATTATTACTTCTATTAATTTTAGGTTATTAATATGCTTGTAAATTGACAAGCAATTAATAAATTACATTATATGTGTGTAGAAAGAAAAGAAACGTACATTTCTCAGTTCTTAAATTATAATTAGATTCTTGTTTACATTTAATCTTTTTTCATGTTTAATTAACTTTTTCAGATGTTGGTCATAATACAATATTTTGTTGAAACGTTTATATGGACACATAATAATCTATTTGGGATTAGTCAATTGTAATGTGTAAAAAACATACGCGCACTAACATAATCGCTAGTTAGTGTATAACATACCATTGTAAAAATTAAGAGCATTGTGAGATATTTTCAGATCACAATTATGTATAATTTACAATTTTCTATATTAACTTGAATTAAGTGTTTATTGAGGCATTTATTCACAAAAAATCAAAGTAAAAAATTTACAGTTTCTGTCTTATTTTAAATAGTAGAACACATAAATAAAAACGTGAAATATGCTGTGGAAATTATCATAATATATAATCCACCTACAGATCAATTTACAGATTCGGATCAACATAATAGATAATAGGATGTTATTGACATATACATATATATACATACATGTTCGACAATTGAGAATCAACGATGAATAAAATATATCTATTATCTTTCTGCGATATTTATTGTATTATATATCATAAATAATAAAGTAAGAAAATTTTGTGACTGCAACAATTTGAATTAGTGCAAAAAAATTAATAAATCTTAAAATAAAAAAATTAATTAGTTTAATAACTTTTTTTAACACTTTAAGTATATGCAAAATATGACGTAATAAATTTGCCATCTATTAATATCTATTATTTTGAAATTTATATAATCGATAGTGTGTTGCATTTGTATAAGTATAAATAGGTACGTTAATAAAAGACAATGATTTTTATATTTTCAAATATACATAATTTTTTGTATTGAAGGAGACGATAAATGAGCTTATAAATGATATTAGATTTTGTATGATATTAGTATAATTTCAGATTTATTGCAAATTCATACAAATCTAAAATTGTTGTGCAAAAATTTGTCAAATTTTGTATTTTGAACAAAAAATAAACGTCACGCGTTAGGTAAAAGTATTTTTTCATTTTTGTTCCAAACTCATTATTTGCGATCCATATTTCTTTCTTATCCATGATTTTCACAAAATTATTAAAACTCCAAATTAAAATAAAAAGTCGACACAATGCACAGCACTGCAGTTGTAAAGTGTAAAAATAAATATATGAAAATTAGTAAAATTTAATAAAATAATTAATAATTTGAAATAATATTATTTTAATATAACTTAAATAATACATAATATAAATACATAAAATTTAAAATAATTAACATATTTAAAAAAAAAATTATTTTAATTAATCTAAATAATAAAAAAAACAATCAATAAATAAATAGTGATAATAAAATAAATAATAAATAAATTATTTACCACGTTCTATCTTTCACGCGCATAAGAAAAACTGGTAAATTTGCTAGTTTTAAATTACATTTTCTGCGCATGTCGTAACAAATCCTTATACCTGTATCTTATTGTTAGTGAAAACAAACAATAAGGCTTTAAAATTTGAGATCAAATTTTATAATAAAGAACAGAACGTCTACAATGTGGAAAACGTCTCTCGTGTACATCAAACACACATCTGTGCTCTTCGTAATCGGCAGACGCATTTCTTGTACTGCAAAAAGCAAGGAATTACGCGAATAGTTTATTGCAATCACTTTAATTTACATTCCTTTTTGTGTTTTGTTTCTCATAATGTCTAATTATAAGATAACGTGCTTACCAGAGGAGATGATAAGCCACATTCTCAACGATAATGTACTCACTATTGAAGATATCATCAACTTTCGATGCGTGTGCAAGCAATTTTGTTATGCAGCCACATATGACAAGTTCTTGGAAAAATAGTTATCTCATAGGTAATTCTTGTGGTTTGTAAATCTTTTTGTTATTTTGTCTCATTAACGCCTGTCGCACAATGTATATCACTTCTGCGAAGAACGTATATTATAAATATATAATAAATAAAAAATATTAAAAATATTAGGTATGTTGCATTTATGTTGCATATTAAATTATTCGCTTTCATTTTTTTCTATTGCTCAATAATTTTGGCAAACTCTACCGTTATATATATACATATATAATATACATATACATATATATATATATATATATATATATATATAGAATGTAAACGTTAAATATACTGATAAGAATTCATAATTTTCAACTGTCAAAATTAAAAGACCAAGTATTTTTTGACCGATACTTGCCAATTGATGTTTGTCTAATTAATCACACATTGTTTCGACCACGGTGTTTCGACCATAATTTTGGTCCATCGCACACTTGACAGTACACTTGAGAACGACAGATATTCTATAAAACGTTGTGTGATTAATTAGATAAATATTAATTGGCCTGTATCAATCGACAAAGATTTAGTCATTAAATATTTTCTTTTAGATTTTCAATTACTAAAAATGTAACGTAAAATTAACTTTGCTTATTTATTTTAATGTGTATTCTTCAATATATTTAATTGTATTTAAAAATAAAGATTATATTTTTGATATATATTCGTCATTAAAACAAACAGAATTGATATTTTTTATCGGTTGTTTTAATAAATAACACTGAAATCATAATAAAATCTTCATAAAAGTAAAAGCATGCCAAGTAACATTCATAAACACAGTCAACATTGAATGTAAATATGTTTTCGGAAAAATTGTTCTAAAAATTATTTTAAAAAATTTTAAATATACACACACGAACATTAATGTTTATTAATAGCATGTAGAATACACATATAGAATTACGCAATATACATATTAGAGTCAAAATTTGTAAATATAATTTACTACCTTTTATAAATTACTACCTTTACTATATTATTTATCTAAAATAATATTCAAATAATTTTGGTTTAGAATCATAGCACATAAAAATACTTAAAATAGACAGTAAAACGATAAAAATTTATTAATAAAAATATGAATACATATCTTGTTGTATCCCTTTTATAATTTATATTTTTTGTATAACTGTGTTTACATAAGCAGTATTAAAAATTATTATCTAAAAATTTATTTACATAAATCTTCATATAATTTTATCTTTCATTAGATATACTTTCAAACATACTTAAAACAAAATTATCTTCATCTAATCTAAAACAAATTTACATATTTTTATCTCGTTTTTATCTAGTTTATTAAAATTAATCTTAACACAACATTGTATCATTATCAAAAATTTATTACAGTATTTTATGGTCGTGTTTTAGATGGCCTATTACAAAGAGAAGATATGAAAATCTAAATACAACAAAGGGTGGAGGAAACATAAACTTTGTCACTGTAATGTATTAGGATACGGTACTGGGAGCGAGCAGCGGCGCGACGGCACGAGTGGAAATGACTGATCCGCACTCGATATAGAAGTAAGTCAGTCGAGCGTGGCGAGCGTCACGGACGCACGCGGGTACATACTTATATCTGTATAACTGTTACTCAGCATTAAAATATCTTACGGTGATTGCGAAGCGGAATTGGTCATCAATTGTTAATGAGCCACCTCACCCGATACACCACAATTGGCGACGAGGACAGAGGTTTTACGAACCGAAGCAAAGGTTTCGAATAGTGTGAAAGTCGTAGGAATTTCACGGTTCGGCGTAGGGTACGAGGCGACAATAAACAGAAGCACGAAAGGACGATAACAGCAAACGCGGATGGCACAAGCGACGCAAGATTTAATCGACTATACGAAAACGTCGTGGATTTATGAACTAAAAAAACCGGAACTGAGAAAAATAATCCAAGATTTAAAATTGGTGGCGGATGAAAATTTAAGTATCGACGAGTTACGCAGAATTGTACGCGCGCACGTAAGCGAGATCAACGAAAGCAGATCAAAGCAAACGGACGAGGCTTGTAATTTATTAGTAAACAACAAGAAACCGAAAATCATCCACACAATGACGGAGAGTAGTAGGGCGAAATTGGAATTTCACCTCGGAGATGACTGGGAAACATACACCGAGAGACTGGAGCTATATTTTGTCGCAAACGATGTGAAGGACGAGAAACAAGCAGCGGTATTGCTAACAAAAATAAGTGCAGACACGTATAAGCTTATTAGAGATTTGTGTACACCAGTTAAGCCGTCAGCGAAGACATTTGCACAATTAGTGAAATTAGTCAACGATCACTTGAATCCAAAGCCATCGGAAACGATGGAAAGATGCAAATTTCATCAAGCACAACAATCGCATACAGAATCAGTAGCAGAATTTGCAGCAAGGTTGAAAAATTTATCAATTACATGCAATTTCGGGAACAACGCGACAACAGCGCTACGAGACCAACTTGTTTGTGGCTTAAGAGATCACGCGACGAAAACATTGTTATTTCGAGAGGAGAACTTAACGTTCGATAAGGCATTCAAGTTAGCGACAACAGTAGAATCGGCAGAAAAAAATGCTAGCTCTACAAGTAGACCAAACGGAGAGTCGTCGAAAGAAACAGTAAATAAATTTCAAGGAAATTCAGAAAATAATCGTCAGTTCCAGTCACGGGGCAAGGGGTCAAACCGAGGTAAGCAAGGGAGCCCACAGCATAACAATAATACACGACCAGGGGTCAAAGATAAGCGGACGACAAACATAAACCAAGAACGTTCTTCTTCATGTTACTGCTGCGGAAAAAATAATCACTGGGCACGTGATTGTTACCATCGCTTCAACACGTGTAATATCTGCAAGCAGAAAGGACACTTGGCTTCAGTATGCAAAACCGGAAGAGCAGTCCAGCATATACAGCAGGGTACAGATGACCACGAGGAACAGCAACGGGACGAGTACGACTTCTTCATGGCAACAGACGGCAACGACTCATCAAAAACAACAAGCGGTAAATTATACTATAAGGACCATGTAAATGATGTAGAAGCGGCACCAATGTATATGAGTATGATGATTAACGGAAAAAGGATAGAAATGGAAATTGATACAGGGTCATATGCGGCGATAATTTCAAAAAAAGATAGAGAATTGTATTTCCCGAACTGTGAAGTCAAAGCAAGCAAAGTACCGTTGAAAGCATATGGCAAAGTGTTGTTAGAACATGAAGGTATACTTGATAACTTAGATGTTAGGTTAGGTAAACAAAGAGCAACACTTCAAATGCGAGTAATGACGAGAGACGGTCCTATATTAATTGGTAGACACTGGTTGAAAGTCTTTGGGTTGTGGCCTTTCGAATTAAAGAAAAGAGTTGAATTTTGCAACAAAATTAACTTAATGAGCGTAACAAAAGATTTCACATCTAAATATCCAAAATTATTCGGTAAAGGACCAGGTTTATACAATAAAGGAATGCTGAAACTAATGGTAAAAGAAGGTACGAAACCTGTGGCACTAAAAGCGAGACATTTACCATTCGCGTTGGCAAGTAAAGTTGAAGATGAGATAAACAGACTAGTAAGATTAGGTCATTTAGAGAAAATCGATGTCAGTGAATGGGCAACACCGATTGTCCCGGTAATAAAATCAGACGGATCTGTTAGAATTTGTGGAAATTTTAAACTAACGTTAAATCCCAGCTTGATTAGAGACAGGCACCCAATACCATTAATCGACGAGATTTTTGTAGCGTTAAGAAACGGTAAAACTTTTTCACAGATTGATCTGCAGCACGCTTATATGCAGATCCCGGTAGAGGAAAGCAGTCGAGATTTCCTGACAATAATAACGCACAAAGGTCTCTACCGGTACACAAAAATGACGGAAGGAATTGCATCAGGTCCAGGAGATTTTCAGCGGAAAATAGAGCAGTGTCTATCAGGCATCGATGGTGTAATTCCTTATCTAGACAATATTTTTGTAACGGGAGAAACCGACGAAATTCATTTAAAAACATTGTATATGGTATTCCAAAGATTAGAACAAAGTGGATTTCATGTAAATATCAATAAATGTGATTTTTTCAAAGAGAAGCTAGACTTGTTAGGATTTGTTATTAACAAGGAGGGATTACACAAATCAGAAACAAAAGTGAAAGCAATGACAAATGCACCGGTACCGCGAAATAAGAAACAATTAGAATCTTTTATCGGATTGATTACTTATTATGCGAGATTTCTACCTAATAGAGCAGAAAAGTTACAACCTTTATATAAATGTGCTAAAGCGGAAACGTTTAAATGGACGGTAGAATGTCAAAAAGCAGTTGATTGGGTCAAAATGGAATTAATATCACCTCGAGTATTGGCACACTACGATCCGAAAGAAGATTTAGTATTGTCATGTGATGCGTCCACGTATGGATTAGGAGCAATTTTAGCGCACCGATATAAAGATGGTACGGAGAAACCAATAGCTTATGCATCTAAAGTAATACCGGAAAAAGAATTAAATCGCGCAATCATTGATAAGGAAGCCAGTGCAATCGTATTTGGATTTAAAAAGTTCTACAACTATATTTACGGAACAACTACACTAACGTTACGGACAGATCACAAACCTTTGGTTTTTATCTTTGGTCCAAAGCAAGAAATTCCTTTGACGGTAGCAAGTAGATTACAAAGATGGGCGTATTTTCTATCGAGATTTACATACACCATAGAGTACGTTACATCGCAGGAAAATAGAAACTGTGATGCACTGTCGAGACTTCCGATTAACGATAGCATTCAGATATTTGATAATGAATTTACAATGATAAATTATGTTTCAGAAGCTTTAGATACATTAAACGCGGAAAAAATTGCAAAAGAAACAAAGAAGGATAAGCTATTGAGTAACGTTATTAAGTATATAAGCGGTACATGGCCAGCGGTAAGCGAGATGAATGAGGATGAGAATAAATTCTATGCGAAACGGGATGAATTGAATGTCGAAAAAGAGTGCTTACTGTGGGGATATCGCATAGTGGTACCAGAAGCAGTAAAACCCAGTGTTCTAAGTGAATTGCACGCGTCACATTTTGGGGTGGTAAAAATGAAAATGTTGGCAAGAAACTATGTGTGGTGGCCAAACATTGATAAAGACATTGAGAATGTAGCAACGGCATGTAAAGTGTGCGTGCAAGAGAGAAAGAAACCGCCTAATGTTCCGCTAACGCCATGGCCGTATCCCGATAAGTGCTGGAGTAGGATACATACTGATTTCCTAGGTCCTGTTCATGGACATATGTTCATGGTAGTAATGGATGCGTATTCAAAATGGCCAGAAGTTATCGATATGAACAAATGCACCACGGCAGAGAGGGTCATTGAGGAGTTTAAGAAAATTATAGTTAGGTACGGATTACCGAAGCATGTAGTAACTGATAACGGCACACAATTCACGAGTAACGAATTTCGAGAATTTTGTAAAGCGAACGGTATCAAGCAGAGTTTCACAGCACCGCATCATCCAGCAACAAATGGTGCAGCTGAAAACTTTGTCGGTACTTTCAAAGATAAAGTCAATAAAATAATGCAAGGCGGGAAATCATTAGAATATGCAGTTAATCTATTTTTGTTTGACTATAGATCCATTGAGCATTGCACTACAGGCAGATCACCGGCGTTCATGATGTTTAAACGAGAAATAAGAACGCGCTTTGAGTTAATGAAACCGAGTGTAATCGATGATGTAGAGAAACAACAGAGAGCGCAAATCATAAGTAGACGCGGTAATCGAAATGTTGAGTTCCAAACAGGTGACATGGTAATGGTTGAGGATTTTGGTGTCAGAAGTAAAAAACGGGTCGTAGGCACGATCGAAGAAAAAGTATCACCGGTAACGTTTAGGGTGAAGGTTGCACCTGATAAGCTATGGAAACGACATGTCGATCAAATCATTAGATACACACCGACGGTGGTCGATAACGATAAAGGTACAGCGGTACCAGCAAGCGAATCTCGAGTGAAGCTACGCCGCTCGGAAAGAACAAGTAAAGGGGGCGAGTTGTAATGTATTAGGATACGGTACTGGGAGCGAGCAGCGGCGCGACGGCACGAGTGGAAATGACTGATCCGCACTCGATATAGAAGTAAGTCAGTCGAGCGTGGCGAGCGTCACGGACGCACGCGGGTACATACATATATCTGTATAACTGTTACTCAGCATTAAAATATCTTACGGTGATTGCGAAGCGGAATTGGTCATCAATTGTTAATGAGCCACCTCACCCGATACACTACAGTCACAAAAGGCATAAATTCTGCGATACAATTGCAAAATTATTTGTCTCAAATTCTTTTTTACCATTATTTTTACAATAATAGATCAAACAAAAATTATTTCAATGGCTCAATCAATAATATATTAAAATTCGATAATGTAATAAAATTCTCGGGTAACATCAATGTATATGTAAAGCGTTTGCATAAAAATATACTTTTTCTTGAGCCTACAGATAAGCTTATAGATGAGCTGAAATATATGTTTTATATTGAGGAGATTAAATGCTTGGTCACGGCATTTCCCCAGTAGGATCTTCATATATATTATAATGCTACTATTATTACAATTTAATGTATTTATTCATTAGTTAATAATTCATTATATATAAATTTTTTAGGAAAATTGATCGAAATTCAATCCAAGAATTTTGCAATATAAAAATGTCTCACTATGAGAAGATATCTTCGATACGAAATGAGTTAGACAGATATATACAGAAACCTGAAGAGAACAGCTTTTGGAAGAAACATGTACTTTCATAGCACAACGTATTCAACCTCGAATAGATGTATGTTACACGAATGTAAGTGCATCATTGGATACAATCGCACAAGAGGTACTGACTTGTCTCAGAGTGAAGCATCCGAACCATTCGATATTCTCCACGTCAGAAGAAACTTTTTCCTATTGGAAAAGCAACAATATCGAAGATAATCATTGGAACGAAACAGAAAGTACGCAGATTATGGATACACTTAAGAAATATATATTTGGTACCATAAACTTTTGACCATGTAGCTACTCACGTAATGTAGACATCAAATGTTTGTGTATAAATTATGTAAGTTATAGATTATAATACATATATAATTATGGGCTATATATATGTATATGTTATATATTGTTCTTAATATACTCTCGCTTAAATTAATTTATTCTGTATTGCACCTGGCACAGATTTTACAAAGTAAACATGGTCAAGCTATCATTATATTTGCAATATTTCATAGCGTGGCTAGAAGACTTGGTCTACGTTGCGATATAATACTTATTTGGCCTCGCTATTGTATATTTGGAGACCGAAATTGTAAGTATAGATACATTAGATTCGACATTATCATCATTTTTCGGTAATCTTTCTTTTTTCTTATACGCATACATATATAATTTTTATTATAAATATTTTTATAAGGATTAAAATAATATTTTAACTGTTTACAGCGTCACAAGTAGTTTAAAAATGCACAATACTTTCACATAAAAAACGAGAATTTCCCGAATTGTCTTTTTTATCATATATCAGTGTACAGGATGCAAACAAATTGCTTTCGCGACCTCGCAATAACAACTAAAAAGGTTGAAAATTATTTATTTATTATTTATATTAATTTTAAGTTAATAATATACTTGTAAATTTACAAAGAATCAATAAATTACAATAAATATGTATACGATGAAGAGAAATGTACTGTCTCTCATTTTTTTATTTATATAATAAGATCTTTGTTTACATTTAATCTTTGTTCATGTTAATTTGCTTTTTAGATGTTGTTGATATTAAAAAATTTCGTTGAAAAGTTTATAATGAATCATGAAATAACAGATTTGGGATTAGTCAAAGTAAAATGTATAATTTAAACAGAAAACGGATCATGAATTGTATTATATAATATATATACAATTGTAAAAATATATTGAACTTTGTGATGCTTTTAGATAACAATTATGTATAATTTACAATTTTTTATAAATTAAACGTGTTTAAGTGTTAGTGAGACATTTATTCACTATATGTATATAGAAGAAAAGAAATGTAGAATCTCTCATTTTTAAATTTATAATTAGATCTTGTTTACATGTCGTCTTTATTCATGTTTAATTAATTTTTTAGATGTTGATGTTAACAAAAAATACTGTTATAGATTTTATAACGGAACACAATAAAAACTTTGCGATTACACCAAATTGATTGTAATAAGTAAAGAACATACGCGCACTAAAAATCGCATATTAGTATATAATATATATACAATTGTAAAAAATATTGAACTTTGTGAGATTCTTTTGGTAATAATTCTTTTAGATAAACAATATGTATAATATACAAATTTTTATCATTTAACGGGTTAAGTGTTTATTGAGACATTTATTCACAAAAATCAAGAAGTACAAATTTTACAGTTTGTGTCTTATATTTAGTTTAAATAGTAGAACAAATAAATAAAAACGGAAAATATGCCGTAGTTGCATGGACCACATAATAAACAGATGTTATATTGACATATAATATATACATGTATAAGTTCGACTTTTGTAGATAAATACTATGCCCTATTTTTGTATGCAATGTCGTTGAGAATCAACGACGAATAAAATATATTTATTATTCTCTGCTATATTATTGTATTAATTAATATAAACAATTAAAATAAGAAAAATTGTGATTGTAAGAATTTGAATTAGTGCAGTGAATATATAAATTTAAAATTTAGATAAATTAATTAATTATGAACTTTTTTAATACTTTAAGTATATGCAAAAGATAACATAATTAAAATTTACCATTTATTAATATATATATTTTGAAACTTGTATAATCGATAGTGTTGCATATGTATAAGTAAAAACACGTATGTTAATAAAAGGCAATGATTTTTATATTTTTAAATATACATAATTCTTTTGTATTGAAGAAACGAGAAAAGCTTATAAATGATATTAGATTTGTATGATTATAGTATATTGCAGATTTATGTAAATTCATGCAATTCTAAGATTGCTGTGCAACAATACGTTAAAATTTTGTATTTTGAACAAAAAATAAACGCCACGCGTTAGGTAAAAGTATTTTTTCATTTTTGTTTTAAACTCATATTATTTGCGATCCATATTTATCTCGTATCCATGATTTTCACAAAATTATTACAACTCCAAATTAAAATAAACAGTCGACACAATGCACAGCACTGCATGTAAAGTGTAAAAATAAATATATGAAAATGAGTAAATTTAATAAAATAATTAATAATTTGAAATAATATTATTTAATTAAACTTAAATAATACATAATATAAATACATGGAAATTTAAAATAATTGACATATTTGAAAAAAAATTATTTTAATTAAGCTTAAATAATAAAAAAAAAAAATAAATAAATAAATAGTGATAATAAAATAAATAATAAATAAATTATTTACCACGTTCTATCTTTTAAGCGCATAAGAAAAATGGTAAATTTGCTAGATCTAAATTACATTTTCTGCGCATGTGTAACAAATCCTTATACTGTATCTTAGTGAAAACAAAACAATAAGGCTTTAAAATTTGAGGTCAAATTTTATAATAAAGAACAGAACGTCTACAGTGTGGAAAACGTCTCTCGTGTACATCAAACACACATCTGTGCTCTTCGTAATCGGCAGACGCATTTCTTGTACTGCGAAAAGCAAGGAATTACGCGAATAGTTTATTGCAATCACTTTAATTACATTCCTTTTTGTGTTTTGTTTCTCATAATGTCTGATTATAAGATAACGTGCTTACCAGAGGAGATAATAACCATCATTCTCGGCTGATAATGTTATCACTATGGAGGATATCATCAACTTTCGATGCGTGTGCAGCAATTTCGTTATGCCGAGCCACATATACAAGTTCTTGGAAAAAGTTAGTTCATTCAGGTAATTCTTGTGATTTGTAAATCTTTTGTTATTTTGTCTCATTAACGCCTGTCGCACAATGTATATCACTTCTGCGAAGAACGTATATTATAAATATATAATAAATACAAAATATTAGAAAAATTAGGTATGTTGCATTATGTTGCATATTAAATTATTCGCTTTCATTTTTTCTATTGCTCAATAATTTTGGCAAACTCTACCGTTATATATATACATATATAATATACATGTAATATATATATAGGAATGTAAACTTTAAATATAATATACTGATAAGAATTCTTAATTTCGGCTGTCAAAATTAAAAGACCAAATATTTTCAACCGACATTGTGTCAATGATGTTATTTAATAATCAACAATGTTTTGACCACGGTGTTTCGACCATATAATTTGGTCCTTCGCACACTTAACAGTAACATTTGAAAAGGCCAAAATTATATGAAACGTTGTGTGATTAATTAAATAAATATTAATTATCTATATATATCGGCCGAAGAAATATTCAGTCATTAAATAATTTTTTTAAATTTAATTATTAAAAATACAACAAAAAATAACTTTGTTTATTTATTATAATGTGTATTCTTCAATATATTTAATTGCATTTTTAAATATAAAAATTATATATATATATGATATATATTCGTGATAGAAACAACAGATTGATATTTTTCTATCGGTTCTTTTTTATAAATAGCATTGAAATCACAATAAAATCTTTATAAAAGTAAAAAGCATGCCAAGTGACATATATAAGTACAGTCGACATTGTTTGTAATATGCTTTCGAAAAAATTGTTCTATAAATATTAAAAAAAACTTAATCTATACATACATACGCACATTAATGTTTATTAATTATATACAATACACTTATAGAATTATGCAATATACATATTGGAATCAAAATTGAAAAGTATAAATTAAATTACAAATTAAAATTGACTATTATATATTTTCTTTTCTAATTAAAATAAAAAGAAGTGTCATATATATACTCATGCTTTGAATTGTACACTTTAAAATTTATTAATTTGAAAAATGACTTGTGCAATCACATTGTTTACTATCATCAAAGTTTGCTGTGTGGTATCTAAATA